TTATAAAAATCTTTTTTTTTTTTCATCATAATTTCTTTTATACAAGTTGTTGATGCACAGTATAATCAGTATACCTTTATAAACTGTATTGATTGTATTCATTATTTTCCTATTTGATTTTCTAGACTTTCTTTGTTACAAAAATGTCTAAATGTTTGATTTGAAACTATTTTTGATTTGAAACTAAACAATTTTTTAAAATGTAAAAATTTATCAAATGTAAAAAATGTTTTGTAAAAAATTAACAATTTTTTTTTTTAATATTTCAGTTTTCATTGTACTTTTCTTGCCAAGTTAATATTATGTTAACTTCCTGTTGTTTTGTTCTGATCAGGTGCTGAAGAACTTACTTTATGTGGCCAAAGTGATCTACCTCATCTCACCAGAGTCTGATCCCACAAATCCAGCTGAAGAACAGGAGGATGAGGAGAAATAAACGACGGATAACATGGAGGAGAATGAAGGGGAGGAAGAAGAGGAAGATAAGAAGCAGGAGCTTGAGGAGCAACAGAATGAGAACAAGCCTCCATCTCTCCTCTGGGTGATGAAGAAGCTTTCATTACTGGCCAAAAGAGAAGCAGCAGACACGCCGAAAGTGCCTTTGAAGGTGGGCGTTAAATCAGTCTTTCTGTTTATGCTTGACTTCTCTGAATGATACAGATGGATCGCTGGTAGGAATGTTCTCTAAATATGAGGATCTCCAGCTCAGGGATGCGAGTTAAGCAAAGGTTTGCAAAGTTAAACAAGTTTTTCGGTTACCGTTTTCTTTCTTTCTTTTTTTTTTAGAGAACTTGTGTTTTTAAGTTCTTGGGAGCCATAGCTGTGGATCTCGGAAAAGATCGACTTGGGCCGTATCTGACCACTATCATCGCTCCTCTCTACAGAGAGCTGGACAGCACATACGCAGACCAAGGTCAGTTCACACCGTCCTTACAGTAGAAACAGACAAACCCTACATGGAATGAAGAGTTTTGTCATCTAGGAAAAGGAATTCTAGGAAATTTTTTTGATCTAAAACCTTGACTAAAATGTATTTCAGTTAAAAAAATATATATTTATTTTAGGTTGTTGATGCACAGTATATCTCAGTCAGATTAACTTTATAACCTCTAAAGCCTCTAAATGATCAAAACTTGAAAAACCTGCTGTGCATAGTATATTACAGGCCTTCTGTCATTTGATTGATAGTTTATGTCAGCAAAAGGCCTTTTAGCATAATTGTAGAAATATCAACCTTCAGGTCGTACGACACGTGTCTTTTTGTTGTGAAATCTTTACTGATTTTGTATGAAGTAAACATATTAACAACTTTTATATTGTTAGTAGAATAGTAGAAGACGAACATTTACTGGACTTAAACAACTTAGGTTTATTTGATTATACATAATTTTTTAGAAAAATCATATTAAACTGTAGAGCTTTGATCCTAAATCTATGCATTAAAATATTATATTACTAAGACATTAGTCTTTAGCGCTAAGCTATGATTTATGTCAAAGATCAAAATTTCATCTTATATTTTGCCCATATAAGTCAGCGACTGCATCAAATTTCTCAAAATTGTCTAAATAAAATAGAATTGAGGTGTTTTTTTTCCTTCTGGAGTGTGAGCTCTGTATTCTCACTATATCATACAATATGTGCCATAAAAGTCAAACATGATACAGACTTATTTCATGGGTTTTTACAGGGTTAAGCTGCTTTAGATTCATTTTTGAACGCAAAATAGAAATGAAAACTAAATTAGAATGTCACAACTAAATGCATATTGTGACAATCTCAATCATTGACGGTGTGGGTGAAACTGACATTTCATTGATCTTTTGCTCTTGTTTCAGACCCCACACTAAAGAATCTGGCTCAGGAGTTGATCGAGTTGTTGAAGAAGCTGGTCGGTCTGGAGCGATTCTCTCTGGCTTTTGCCGCAGTGCAGAAAGAAGCCACTCAGAGACGAGCTTCACGCAAGAAAGCCAAAGCCATACAGGTAAAACATGTTTCTAAATGCTGCTCAAATCAAGCTGCTCAAGTGTGTAACTTGTTCTTCTAGGCTTCAGAGACAACTATAAAGAAACCATTTGTTCGTTAATTTCCAGGTTACACATCTTTATAACTAAAGTAAAAATGAAATGGTAATTCTATTCATGATTTCCCTTGACAGACTGTTGTAAATACTGACATTGCTGCCAGAAAGAAGGTAAAGAAGCAGTTAAAGAAAAACGAGGCCAAAAAGCGGAAAATCGCATTTGTGCGTACAGGACATAAAGCAAAGAAACATAAAAGCACGTCACTGAAAGACTTGGCTATAATCAGCTGATTCATTTTGCTGCTGTTTGCTAAATAATACATCGCCACATGTGCACATGGCAGTTGAGAGGGTCTGTCCGTTGACTGAGTCTGTGTCAGTATACGCAGTGGTGTCGTTCACAAAAATAACCACAGGAGGGCGCAACCCTTTTTAAGTTAATTAGACTGGATTTGCAGCGGTGTAATTCACAAAAATCACCAGATGCAAAATCTGTAGCTCACACGAAAAAGCACTGCCTCATGGTTGTAGTAGAGGGTGCTGAGTTCAAGTCCTGCTATTGCTTATGTTAAAATGTTGGCATTATATCCAACAAAGTCTCTACTACTCAGCATGAGAACCACAGTGGCAATAGTGGCTGAACACGTGCTCTCTGTTTGAGGTTGCAAAAGAGGCATGGGCATTAGACTCCATTTGCAGCGTTGCAATTCACAAAAAACACCACAGGAGGGCGCACTAACTCAGAATTTATTTAAAATTGTAACAGAACCACACATCCCGATGTAACTGACCAAAAAATCACCACAAGAGGACGCAACACATTTAAGTTAATTAGACTCCCTTTGGAGAGGTGTAATTCATTCAAATCACCACAGGAGGGCACAAATCTTTTACCGTTATTAGATGTGATTCGCAGTGGTGTCGTTCACAAAAATAACCACAGGAGGGCGCAACCCTTTTTAAGTTAATTAGACTGGATTTGCAGCGGTGTAATTCACAAAAATCACCACAGGAGGGCGCAACGCTTTTTGCCAGATGCAAAATCTGTAGCTCACACGTAAAAGCACTGCCTCATGGTTGTAGTAGAGGGTGCTGAGTTCAAGTCCTGCTATTGCTTATGTTAAAATGTTGGCATTATATCCAACAAAGTCTCTACTACTCAGCGTGAGAACCACAGTGGCAATAGTGGCTGAACACGTGCTCTCTGTTTGAGGTTGCAAAAGAGGCATGGGTTCAAGTCCCACCTCAGTTTATAAAAAAACAACTGAAAGCTTTAGCTAGCTTATTGTAAAATCACAGGTCACATACAGTATGTAAATATAAGTTCCTTCACAAATTCAAATAAGTGATCTGTAGCTCACGGGTAAGAGTGCTGCTTCATGGTTTGAGGTTGCTGGTTCAATCCCAGCCAGATCTCAAAGAAATGAGTTTGTGTTGTGCAGGTGCACATGCTACTTTTCATTTAAAATGAAGCTCTCAACAAAATACCACACAAAACTCAGTGGCTCAGTTGTTAAAGCATGGCAATCTGAGTTCAAATCCCATTATTACTTGTGTTAAATTGTTGCCAATATATCCAACAAAGTGCCCCAAATGCCAACGTGTTGGGTGAGAGCCACAGTGGCACTAGTGACTAACACATGTTCTCTGTGCACAAAGATGTGGTAGAGGCATGGGTTCAAATACCACCACGATTACACAACTGAATGCTTTAACTTATTTATTGGAAAAAAATACAGGGTAACAGTGAAATATAAGCTCCTCCACAAGTTCAAACAAGAGACCTGTGGCTCACAGTTAAGAGCGCTGCCTCACGGGTTCAGAGGTTGCTGGTTTGATCCCAGCCAGGTCTCTGTGATATGAGTGAATGCTGGAGTGTGTGTGAAGGCGCGCCCAAAGAAGGGGGATACCAGTACAGTCTCCCCCTGGAGCTTCCCGCACTGTGACCAGCAGTGGTTATGCTTTTGTCCAGACTGGAAAATAAAAAGAAAGCGGCATAAAAATGATCATCCCCCGTCCCTTCCCCACCTGCTTAGGTTACCATCATTTGCTTTTCACAGGCGAGGCCCCTCAGAAAGAAAATAATGGTAACCTACACATGAACTAGCCAAAAACACACATTATAAGCATCACCTGTCCATGAGCAGATGTCCATCATTACAGCGAATGTCTGTCCACACGTCCCAGAGCTCTGCTTCTGTTGACTGGGTGCTCAAACACATCCATTACTCTGTAGGGTAAAGACATAAAAACTACTACATACTGTGTAACCAAAAGTATTAGTGTAAATAATAGTTATATTAATACATGGTATTTCACATACTCACAGGCAGAGCTGGATGAACCAGATGAACTGGATCCAATGGTCCATAAGTCATGTGCACTACAAAGATAAAATAGTAATTCATAAACATAAACATCATTAAGGTTGGCAAAGAAACAAATGATAAAATGATGCAGTCTTCCTCAAGAACATTTACAGACAAAACATGGTTTGTGTAAATGTTCCTAAAACTGTGCAATGAGAAATCAATATCAAGGACTATATTGTTCAGTATTGCTGTATTAATTATAATCCTTGAATCTTTGTACTTGCATGCTGTTATTGCCTTCCCTCTGTCTGCAAACTAAATCTAAATAACAAGAAAACGCAAAATAAATCTGAGTGTAAGATTTTGCCACCATCATCGGGCTTGACTGGTCTAAAACAGATATCCTTGCAAGATTCTGCACCAACAGATTTATTACCACAGATCTGGCTGTTTAAAGTGCTGGGTGGAGAACACGAAGAAATGCCAGTTGTGGATGTTTGTGTCCTCAAGCCGGGGCACAATATTACACACCTCTCAAGCGCCAAATGTGAGTAAATGTTCTGTTTGTTCAGTAAATTTTGCAGTGTCACATGCCATTCAGTCATTTTATTGTTGATTAGTTAAATATGTGCACTGTGGCATGAAGAACGTCTGTCAGTGAAGTCTCTTATGTTATCAAAAATGCATTTGAAAAATTATTTTTGATTTGAAAAGTGACAGAGGTTAGTGATGGCTTAACGATGGCTAGGATCAAGGCTTTCCTCTCAATCACATTGCACTGGGTCAGCTGGCCAATCAGAGCAGACTGCGCTTGTCGGAAGGAGGGACTTTGTAGAAAACGAAGCGTTTGAGAGAGACGGGGCATAGAGGACCTACAATAATGTACAGTATTTGAAAAAGAATGTGTTTTTTGAACATTAAAGCATGTCAACATATTCTGTTACACCAAATACACAAAATAATGATCTTTAAAAAAGCATCATATGACCCCTTTAAGTTCATTAGACTAAATATTCTATGGTGTAATTCACAAAAACCACCACAGGAGGGCGCGACCCATTTAAGTCGAGTAGCCTCTATTTGCAGTGGTGTAATACACAACAATCACCACAGGAGGACGCAATCCACTTAAGGTCATTAGACTCGATGTGCAGTGTAATGCACATACCGAACATTTAAATTCTTGTTCAAGTTCCACAATCGTTAAAGTTGTTCACCGTTTATCTTTAAAAGGCTCATTACACGAAGCTTCTGAACACGGTCTATGGTGTGGCCACCTAGTATAGAATATACCAAACTAATGTAATTCACTTTTAGTTCTGCAGCATCTACCAGATTCATGAACATCTTAAGAAAGAAGTTAAGAAATGCCTTAAGATAAGTTGTAAGAATGTTCTTCAAGAATGCAATGATTGCAATATTCTTAAACAGTTCTCAGATATGTTCTATATATCTATAAAATAAATCTGCATAAGTAGCCTATAGGATATATATATATATATAATAGTAAGTGTAGTGTTGTAGTAAATGTAGAGTCCCTTACAATAAACCACATGTTAGTACATGATACTTTATATTTACCTCTGATCTGTTGGATTCTGCTTTACAACTGTGGACAGAGCTATGTAGTTTATATTGTAACATTATAGGCTATAGTAAAGAAGTACACCATTTTCCCACACAGTACCAAATATCTTTTATCGGCTTATATATTTTTGTTCTGTTCAAGCCTGTGAGCGATATGACTGGTAATCTGTCGGAGAGATCAGACATCAGGTAGCATGTGTAACTAGTACAACTTCAAGCTTGAGTATTTGGATCATTTGAAATTATTATAAAAATTATGATAAATTAAAAAAAAGAATTGTTGGATCCAAAATTAAACTCCAGAACGAACACAGGAGAAGACTGTTCTTACATAAAGGACGATTAAAACAAAAGCTGTTCACAAATCACACTAAATGATTCATTTGTGAATGCGACTAATCGCAGCAGAGCAACTCACTGAATCGATGCACTGATCCAGAAGTTCACGATTAGCGTAGTTCTCCACAAACTACCTACACAGCTCCTATTAGGCCTATAAAAGACTGAGCTACTAACAATACTATGCTTATCTTTATTTTTGTACATGTGTTGTAGTAAGCAGTACATAAAGTACTGAATATAGTGTTTATTTTGCTTCATGAAAACGTATGAAACGTACTGTGTGCAGTGTTGCCAACTCATTTCCAGGGGAAGTTGCTAAAGCAAGGTGGATTTGTTGCTAAAAGTTGCTAAATGACGTTTTTGATGTCATTACGTAATCCCGACGCAAAATTGTCACTACATCAAATCTCAGCAAAAAAAGATTTTAGATTTGTTTGTAAAATACTATAAATGCATAATATAATGTTAAAATATAAATAAGTATTTTTATATACAACATTTAATTATTGAACACTTACACATTTGTGAACGATTACAAGTTGTTGTTTTTTTATTAGCTCTAGTCAAACGACACATTCTGAACAATTATAGTTTTAAGCAGTTTATTAGTCTTCAGTATGCTACACTCTAAGAAAACAATTCACAGGTTTTTACCTACATTTTAAATTATGCATTGTATTTTGTGTTTTCGGGTTACAACGGATAATGGATAACAGATAATGTCCTGGAAAAATACTAGTACCTTTTCCATTTTACTAGATATTTTTCTTACAGTGTGCGAACTGATCAACAATCGCAGGTACAAGCTACTAACAAGGTGTATCACAAATGAACAATTGTTATTATTATCAAATTGAACAATTGCAAATAGCAATAACTTAATTCACGTGATGCTAGGCATCTGTGGTTTCCTCTTTTTGTGAAATTTAGATGGAAAATGTGTGCCTTTTTATTGTTTGAGCCACTTATCAAAAGTTGCTAAAAGTAGCCAAATACAATTTTAAAACAGCTTAATTTGTTGCTAGGTGCTTTTGGAAGAAAATGTTGCTAGGGTAGTCTGAAAAGTTGCTAAATTTAGCAACAAAATTGCTAAGTTGGCAACACTGAGTGTGTGTATTTGACAAAATATGCGATGCGAAGCAGAAAGTGCTTTTATTCAGCGGCGGGTTAAGTCGAATACATCCGGGTCCTTTTCGAATCGTCGTCAGGTAAATAAGCGCAGTTCTCCCTCCGCTCCACTAGGCGGCGTCGCTTTTAGCCTCACACCATTCGATGTTTGACAACAATGAAGCTTTATCATGTCGTTTAATGCTATGAAAGTACAGATTCTGGAGATGACAGCTCAGTGACAGACTCTTAATGTCTCTCAATTACCGCCCGTCAGCAAACAAAACCGACACAAACTGCGGTAAAGTGCAGGAATCGAGTGTAACGCGACTCACCTGTAAGTAACTTTGCGCGTATGAAGTCCTCAGTCGGTTTGTTTAGCTTGAAAGTAATTCTGTAAGTGTGTATTGATGTAGTAGCGTTCACTCGCTCTCCTCTCTGTTGTGTTTGTTTAGCTCGCGGTGTATCTGCGCATCTCTCACCTGCTGCTCCTCACATTCACAGACTTTCAGATCTGCTAGAAAGGTAAATCTGTTCTGACATTTCTAACAGAGTGCTTGTGCTGCTAGCTGTTTGGAGGAGGGACTTTCTCTAGAAAGAATTTGATTGGACAAAATGTGTGTAGTGCAATATTACTGTTTCTGATCTGTGAAGAGAATGTTTACATTGTACATGTATTTGTTAAAAGCATACTTTTAGTATGGCTTTAAATCTAGTAGACATGGGCTGAAAGCCATGTACAACACTTGAGATTTCAGTTATACTATCTTGTTGATGAAAATAATTCTCATTAGACCACATTGTATGCTATAACACATATGAATACGAAGGTTTTCTTTTAGGATTCCAAATTCATCAGTAGTTGTTGTGTTATCTTTATAAGATTTATATGAATTAGGCTACCTTTTCTATTCATTTTATCAAGCAATGTATTATCCTATCATGTTACTGTAATGGACTGTATTCTATGGTTGGTTTTTTGTGAAGCACTGATGCTTCATGTCTTTCCTACTTCTAGCTGTGGTTGGTATAATATGAGTAGAGCTTAGATCTGTTTCAATAGCATATTTAAATATAAGACCATTAGCTTTTTAAATGTTGACGATGCAATGTTTTTTTTTTAATGGATTTTCAGTTAAAAGCCTGAAATAAGGTCTGTGATTAATACAGGCTCAAAATGTCTTCATGTTTTATTCTATGACGTAAAATACATCAGTAATACCCTTGTGATAAATGGGACTACAAAGGTTGTTGTGGACATTAAACGGCATCAAACTATTCTTCTGCAAACTATTCTAACTCAACTTTTCAGGGGAAAGGTTTGTTAAATAAATATTGAAAGAGCTGTTGGAAGCAACAATGTGATGGAGAAACTCGTGCAATGTTGTAGTTAGTGTTTAGATTAGGTTAAACTTTTTACTTCTGCCAATTGTATTTAGGCTTCAAAATTCATTCAATTGTTTATAGGACGTGATGCGACCCTAAAAAGGAAGGAATGCTCAAGCATACCTCGTCATGTCGCTATGTTGCCCATGATTGCCCACTGTTTTGGATGTTCATTATCCAATAACACTCTAGAAAGTGAGTGTGACAGGTGTTTTATAAAGACACAAAGTTACTGATAAAGAACAGTTCATGCTACTACACATAGCTAATGTTTTCTGTCTTTATTTCTTTCTTTAAACAGCAGGTAAGTGATGTTGGAAGAAGAGTTCTGGAACATGTGGACAGACATTTGCTTTAATAGCAGAAATCTGGTCACGGGCAGGTAATGCTTATATTTTTAATAGCTTTAATACTATGTTAATATTTTTTAATACTATATATACTTCAATTTAATACTTTATATATATATATATATTGTTTTATCTGATATTTACATATTCATTTAATATTTTAAATGTAATGGAGTATCCAATTGTATCTAGACAAACCTTTTTGGTATTAGTATTTATTTAATTGTATATAGGAACTCATTTGAATTCAAATGTGTTTAAATTTATTTCTTAATATTTTTACTTTTTTTTTTACTAGTTTTATGATTAGGATTTATTTATTTGTACCTAGACACAAAATGTGTAAATGTTTGTGTTTTTTAACAAGATTTTTAACTTGAATTCTTTTAACAAAAAATTCTAGCAAAAAATGATTTTAATATTCTGTTTATAAATATTGACTTAAGTTTAATGTAATTTATATATTATTTTTTGTATTTATATTTTGTTTTTAATATGTTAAAATTTTCAATAGTATTTTTTTTGTTATTAGTATTTATTTAAATGTACCTAGACACAAATTTGTTTTTTTTTTAATGGGTAAATATTGTTTATTTTTTTATATGAAATTTTTTTTTTGTGCAATAAAAATGTTCTATTTCTAAATATTAACTTTTTTTATTTTGTTATTTTATGTAATATTTACATACTAATTATATTTAAAAATAATAATTTATTGTACATGTACAAAAATATTTTAAAAGTGTGTGAATTTATTTATCATTTGCAAAAATCTTGATTTTAATATTTGAATTCTGAATGTTTCGTTTTTAAATTAATATTTAATTGTACCTTTAATAGTATGACAACTTTTATTAATTAAATTAAATTTACATTTCTTTTTTTTTTGGAAATGTGTGTAGATTTGTTTATTTGTTATAGTAACTGAATACCACTCCATGTGAGAGCTGTTGTGGCTGAGTGGTCAGAGTTCATAGTGTAAGACTTCAACCCAATGCAGGTGATGTGGGTTCAAATCCCCCCTCTGCTGCAGATGAAAATGAGGATGCCATTATTGGCCACATTTAGCAGCAAAATTTAAAAAAATTTTTTTGTTTCCTTTAACTCCTCTGTTCTCCTCTCTCATCTCCAGCACACTCAGGCCCACCTCTCTCATCTCCAGCGCACTCAGGCCCGCCTCTCTCATCTCCAGCGCACTCAGGCCCGCCTCTCTCATGTCTGTCTGTCTCCATCTCATCGCCCCCAGGTATGTTTGCCAGTTAGTCCGTGTTTCTCATGACTGCTTAGTCAGTCTGTTGTATTGCCCCAGGTATGTTTGTTAGTCCGTGTTTCTCATGGCTGAGTAGTCACCACCGGGTATCTTAGCCAGTCTGCCTCTAGCTTTCTGTTTCACCGCCTCGATCAATTATTCAGTATCTTTCTTTGGTGAGGGATTTGAACCCACGCCTCCACCGTAACCTTGTCCGCAACCAACGTGTGTTTAGCCACTAGTGCCATTGTGGCTTTCATACTGACTGTCGACATTGGGGCCCGCTTTGTTGGATATAACATCAACAGTTTACCATAAACAATAGAGAGATTCGAACCCAGGTTTCCATGATTATAACTCAATGCTCTATCACCTGAGCTACCGAGCCTGAACAATTAAACTGGGTTCAGTTGGGGTTTTATTGAGAGCGTTTTATGTAAAGGAAAAACTGTTGTAGCTGCTGGGTTTGAACCCAGCCTGTCATGCATGAAAGACAAGTGATTGTCCTCTGCACCACAGAAGCTGTGATGTGAAACAGTGGTTTTGATTTGGTTCTATTTAATTACCTATAGAAGCAAACTAAGAAACAACAGGACTTCACGTTTAAAACACAACGCTTAATCATCTGCGCCACTGAATCTGTGGTATTGCATTGTTTTGTAGCATAAAGTATAGCAAGAACTTGATGTAAGCAATAGTGGTATTTGAACCAAGACTTTTATAAACAACAAAGCAAATAACTATCCACTGCGCCACAGAATTTCAGTCTGAGGTAGTTTTTTTTTTTTGAACAGTTAATTAGTCTTTCCTATGCTTAATAAATGATGAAAAGCACTTCAGCAATCATGGGATTTGAACCATGACTTTCATGTACCAAAAAGCAAATGACTTCCCACTTTCAGTTGAAATATGGCCTTTTTAATTTAAATTCTTGCCATTGTTTTCTTAACAAAGCACAGGTTAAAAAACATGAATTGCTTAATAAATGATGAAATGTGCTTCAGTAATTGTGGGACTTGAACCAAGACTTTTTTGTACCAAAACACAAATAATTAACCACTTCGCCACAGAGGTTATGATAATATGATATTTTAGATTTTGGTCAATGGAATTAGCTATAGCAACAATTTAAAATAAGTAACAAAGGGGTTCAAACTCAGGACTTTTAAAACACAATAATCTCTCGCATCACTGAGTCAGCCACAGAATTGAAGGACATGTTTTTTAAGGGTCATTTAGACTCAGGTGAAATACCATTTTTCCCCCCTGCGCATTGTCATCTTAAAGAACATGAATTGCCTAATAAACTAGTTATATCATTTGATGTACACACTTGATGTATAGAATAACTTCATTTTTTTAAGTTGATATGAAAAAATGTTAGCTGTGGTGTTTTTTAAATTTCTTACAATGCATAAAAATCATAATGATCTGTTTTTAAATATTTATATTCATGTATGTAGTACTCGCATTAAACTATAGGCCTGTCTGTTATGTGCTGTTTTTGTACAGTTATTGTTTTGGCCTGTATTCTGGTTTAACTTGGTTTGTTTATAGAGTTAAGATTTTTATTTCCAGCACAGTAAAAAAAAACAACAATCCGATCTCATTATTATAAAAACCTTGACACAACGGTGCACATGCACTGTATAAACAGCAGAAGAAAACATGAAGTCACATGTAGTTCAAAGGAACACTATTCTCAACAAAGGTAACGCTAAATGAAAAATTTAGTGAAAATTTAATATTAAACCACACAAGCAGCACTAAACCGAACGACAAACAGAACAATAAGCTATATTAACTACAAATAACTATATTTAATGTTTTTGATAAGCAAAAACAGCTAATTAAATATTCATCACCACAGCCAATCACAAATCATCATGTAATGCCAAGCAATCAGTGTTACACAAGTCGTATTCGACTTCACACAGCACCGTACAGACCGATCAGCGCCTGACACGAAACTGCATGTCAGTTTCGAGATTTTGTCTGGAATGAAAGCAGCCACCTGACTTCAACCCAGCTTCTCGAGAATGGCTGCATAAGCCACACAACACAGCTGTTTCGTGATTGCCTGGACACGTTAATGACAAATATGATGTGTTTCACTTTTATACTGACACCTTCAATTATGTTATCACACAAATCTGTGAAAACATGTAATCATGATGTTATATTGTGACATTTATTAAAATAAAACTTTTAACATTTAAAAATGTAGACCCCATTTTTTCTGATTTCATATCATATGCTAGGCCTATAAACTAGTCCAGAGCTAATATCAGTCATTAGCTACACCTAGAACATCTAATCAAGCCTACCTCACCTTTATCAATTCATTCAGAGCTAGAGACTCGAGAAAGCTGCCCAGTAAAGTTTGTCACAAGGTTTTACAGGGGAAGACACTAGCAGTGTCTCATTCAGAAGGCTCCGCCCTCCGGTGCTCACATTTGGCATTGACATTGCCTCATTTACATTTTTTTGTGAATTACATTGCTGTAACTCTAATTAACGTAAACCTGTTATGTCATCCTGTGGTGATTTTTGTGAATTACACCACTGCAAATTGAGTGTATATTGAATGTCAGATGAACTTAAACACCTTACACCCTCCAGTGGTGATTTTTGTGAATTACACCGCTGCAAATAAATTCTATTCAACTGAAATGGGTTGCGCTCTCAAGTGGTGATTTAACTGCCGTATATCGAGTCTATTCAACTGAAATGGGTTGCGCTCTCAAGTGGTGATTTAACTGCCGTATATCGAGTCTATTCAACTTAAATGGGTTGCACCTTCCTGTGGTGATTTTTGTGAATTACACCACTGCAAATCAAGTCTGTTCAATTTATATGGGTTGCACCCTCCTATGATAATTTTGTTGAATTACACCACTTCAAATCACATCTATTCAACTTCAATGGGATGTAGAGTGTAGAGTGGAGTGGTGATTTTTGTGAATTACACCGCTGCAAATAAATTCTATTCAACTTAAATGGGGTGCACCCTCCAGTGGTGATTTTTGTGAATTACACTGCCATATATCAATTCTATTAAACTGAAATGGGTTGCGCCCTCAAGTGGTGATTTAACTGCCGTATATCGAGTCTATTCAACTTAAATGGATTGCGCCCTCCTGTGGTGATTTTTGTGAAGTACACCGCTCCAAATCACGTCTATTCAACTTAGATGGGATGGGCCCTCCAGTGGTGATTTTTTTATAAAGTTTATATTGATCAATATGCATTTCTCAAAGAAGACAATCCATTGAGTGAATGCGTTTTGTTTGTTTAACAAGGTCCTCTTTCAATACTTATGACTTTCATTGGTTTCATAATATGTTGAAATGAGTTTATTATTAAGATCATATTGGCTCTGCACCTTTTTCCTTTGCACTGCTTATGAATTACATTTCCATGTGTGGGAATAGTGATTAAAAAAACTGGTTTTGTAAAACGATGATTAAGTATGTGAGAAAGAGTCACCAGGACACTTTGTAGGCAGTTTGACTCTTTTAATATTGCAGGGATAAAATGAATATGACTGCAAAATACTTGTGTGTCTAAGACAAAAAAGCAGGAATAAAACAGGACATCAGTAAAATATGTCACTTTACTGTCTCTACATGTGCAATCAAACAGAACAATGGTTTCATAATGACTACAAATGCATATGTGAAGAAGGAGACAAAGTCCTCTGGATCTCTGTGGTGCCTCGATGCACTGCACGTTTACCTCAGCCTGCCACCAACCTTGCCCTTGCCACGACCTTTGGCACTGAAAAGAGAAAAATAATCATCAAACCTGCATATAAAAAAAACAAACACTTTTGAGATAATTGTTGATCCTTTCATCAGTCCATTGATCTACTAAATCAGAGCATGACATTATGCTATTGAAATTATTTAAATGATTGCGCACATTTGAATTCTAATCAAAATGCATTTAAATTTTGACTTGCAAATTAGCAAATTACACATATTTTTTTTTTTTTACACTACGTTGGATTCAAAATAGAAAATAACAGTTCAAATTTCATTTTCAGACATAATACTTGCAGAAATAAGATTCACATAATAAAGTCATGTGACAAATGTAATGTCATGTATAGCGTACTATTGAAAATATTCATCATTAATAATGTGCATGTTTACATAATTCGGTATAGTATAAGCAAGACACCAGTATTCCATTCCAAACACTTTGAAGCGACTACAGGAAGTGATGTAATTCAAATCCAAACTCACATCAAAGTCCACCTTATCTCCTTCAGGAATCTTTGGAGCAGTGATATTTGGCATGAATCTGTAAAATAATTGTTGGTCATGAATACTGACGGTGTGCAGTATTCACATATAGAGATAAACATAAGAAAGAAAGATATCAGAGTAGAACATACTTTGGCTTTGGTTTTGTCTCATCTGGGGATAACAAAAATATACAAAATACATCATCGCCATGAATATGATGCAGAAAGTATGTTACAGACTCCCAGAGAATCAATCAAATGTGTGTGTGTGATTTATGGAGCAGTTACCTGTGGCCTCCTCCTCCACTGGAGCTTCTGTTAGATGAAGACAGATGAACAGACACAATTTCACATTAAGACTATTTGCATAAACACATTTGAAGTGTTTCAAGGAAAAACAAACAATATTTGGGAATACGAAACGATCCAGAACTAAAGAAATGTTTTGATTTTGAAACAAAAGCCCGGCTGAATGTGACGACCCAATGTTCTGACAGCAACAGTCCTCACTCATGCGATTGAAATGAACTGATATGTTACATCATGACATACAAACCTTACAAATAAACCGTTTCTGTCCTCCAGCCTTCACAATGACACATCATGCAGTTGATTCAATTCAGATTATCACATTCCGTCCCCCCTCCATCGTCGGGCCCAAAAATGAGAACGTGAATATCTGGAAACTCTTGCTAAATGTTTCGTTCTTAATCTATATTCTATGAATGAATATAAACCTGAGGAGCTTTACCTTGTGGTTCAGGTTCTGGCTCCTCTGTTCAGATATGGGATAGTTATAAGTGGTTAAAAAGAATGAAGATTTACAGACACTTGTATATACAAATAACCATGATATTAATAAGAACTGAAATAATTACCTTCTACTTCCGCAGGCTCTATTATAAGAACAGCACATCAGTTAGTTTACAAAAACTGTAGCTTCACATTTTTTAAACATACCACAACATAAATCCTGTCAATCAGGAACAGATAATTCCTTTATGTATTTTATTTGGATAAAACACATGAAATAAAAAAATGTAAATGTGTAGATGCAGTGGGTTTAAATATAGTGTACCTAAGATATTATAGTTTTTAAATCATAAAACATTTAAACAACAATTAACAAATCAAATGAGGGAATGATTACCTTGGCTGGCTCTAGTATGAAAATATTACTTGAATTACTAAACACCTTGCATTGGTGATTGTATATTTATATGTACAGAAAATCATCACAAATGTTATTAAAAAAGTTATTTGAAAAAGGCGAATTTACTCAAAATAATGCAATAAAGTTGCTGAAGTATGAAAGCTTGGTTCTGCCACAGAATTAAAAAAATAATAATCTCAAAATTCCTTGCAATTATGAGCTTATATCTTGCAATTCTGACTTTTCCCCCCTGTGATTTAAAAAAAAAGTAGAATTGTGACTCATAATTTGAGAATACTGTGAGTTTATATATCTCGCAATTTTACTTTTTCATTTTTTTATTCTGTGGTGGAAATGGGCTTCCATACTATGGTCAAATTTTTTTTTTAAATCATTAAAACAATTAAAAAATGAGTGAACAATGAAATAATGGGTGCATAAATTACTAAATACAATTATTGCTAAGTATATGTTGTGAAAAATTTACCTTCCACTTCAGAAGGGGTAATGATAGAATAAGTGAAAGAAAGAAGGAAGAAATAAATAATTGCATAAACGAGGATGAGTAAGTGAATGAATTAACTGTGAAAATAAACTGAAATATCTACATGCATGCATGTGAAAAGCAATGAAGAATCAACTGGTCTTTCTAATGGTTTTAGGTCACATATGTGACCCTGGAGCACAAAACCAGTCTTAAGTCGTTGGGGTATATTTGAAGCAATAGCCAAAAAATACATTGTATTACTAAATACAATTATTACTAAGTATATGTTGTGAAAAATTTACCTTCCACTTCAGGAGGGGTAATGATAGAATAAGTGAAAGAAAGAAGGAAGAAATAGATAATTGCATAAACGAGGATGAGTAAGTGAATGAATTAACTGTGAAAATAAACTGACATATCTACATGCATGCATGTGAAAAGCAATGAAGAATCAACTGGTCTTTCTAATGGTTTTAGGTCACATATGTGACCCTGGAGCACAAAACCAGTCTTAAGTCGTTGGGGTATATTTGAAGCAATAGCCAAAAAATACATTGTATTACTAAATACAATTATTACTAAGTATATGTTGTGAAAAATTTACCTTCCACTTCAGGAGGGGTAATGATAGAATAAGTGAAAGAAAGAGGGAAGAAATAAATAATTACATAAACGAGGATGAGTAAGTGAATGAATTAACTGAAAATAAACTGAAATATCTACATGCATGCATGTGAAAAACTCTAATCAATGAAGAATCAACTGGTCTCTCTAATGGTTTTAGGTCACATATGTGACCCTGGAGCACAAAACCAGTCTTAAGTCTCTGGGGGTATATTTGTAGCAATAGCCAAAAATACATTGTATGGTCAAAATTATTGTTTTTTCTTTTATGCCCAAAATCATTAGGATATTAAGTAAAGATCATGTTCCATGAAGATATTTTGTAAATTTCCTACCGTAAATATATTAAAACTTAATTTTTGATTAGTAATATGCATTGCTAAGAACTTCATTTGGACAGCTTTAAAGGCGATTTTCTCAATATTTAGATTTTTTGCACCCTCGGATTCCAGATTTTCAAATAGTTGTATCTCGACCAAATGTTTTCACGAACCATACATCAATAGAAAGCTTATATATTCAGCTTCCAGATGATTTATAAATCTCAATTTCGAAAAATTGACCCTTCTGACTGGTTTTGTGGTCCAGGGTCACATATGTGGTATCAAAATCTAATTGAATCATATTTTGGAGTGAATCTTAAATTGAAACTCATGCAGGAAAAGCAACACAACACACAGCGAACACGGTTTTACCTTCCTCTTCGGTTTCCTCCACTACAGTGTGAACATAATAACGCAAATACATTCAGAAGCATAAAAGGAACATTTGCATGATCAAGATGCTGAATCAAGTCAACAGATCATCTTTAGCCTTTGTCAGAACATTGAGATCCACCCAACAGCTTGTAAATGACATTTCGAGAAAGTTCATATTCAGAATCTAATGCCATTTGCGTGATCATATGGAGTGCGTTAAATGAATTTAATGTGATTTTCACAATTATTTTGACTATGCCATAAATCCTTGCAAACAAATATTAGATTTACGGACTGTTATGGACAGAATGTGGGAACTGACATCTGAGACAAGAGGAAACATACATGGGCTGGACATACTTGATATTAAAATGTCACTCTACACAAAATTATATTAGTCACTTGAGTTACTCAACTCCACTGGCCAAGTGAAATCACAGTCAAAAACAGCACAACAGCATGCAGAACTTCCTTTGGACCAGCCTCCATTTCCATCAGGACATAATTAGTGATTAGTGCATGAATAAGCATGCTCATCTCATACTGGCTTACCTTCCCTATCACATGGTGAAGAGAGAAAAAGAAAAGGATAAACAGTTGACATTGAGTTGGATAAAGAAATTAAAAAGATGATACATAAAATTGAGTTACACTCTCAGAAACAAAGCTGTCACCCCAATAGGGAACGCTCTCACTAGCATTTTTTTAAAGGTTCTAAATATGTTCGAACAAAACGTTCTTAAAGTAATGCTTATGGAGCGTTCTTATAATATTATTCATATTTGATTACATGTTCTTATTGAGAGAAAACGTTCTAAGATGAACATTCTTGGATGTTATTATGATGTTATTTGTACTTGATGAATGTTCTCATAAAGTTGAGAGAAAACGTTCTTAGAATATTAAAAAAATGTTTGTATGGAAATAAAATAAAATTAGTAGAACGTTTTAGGAACCTTTGAATAGTGTTCTACTCACGACAAGAAAACTGGACATTTTAACGTTCTTAGAACATTTCGAATAAATTTGTTTTATTTTGGGTAAAAACGTTAGTAGAGCATTATAAGAAACATTTTTGAAACCTTTAAATAACGTTCTAATCACGATAAGAAAACAAAACACTAAAACATTCAAAATAAATGTTCAAAAACATTTTATTTTGGGGGCGTAAAAGTTCGTAAAACATTGTCAGAAACATTTTTGTAACCTTTAAATAACGTTATAATCACAACAAGTAAACTGGACGTGTCAATGTTTTAGAAACATTTCAGCAGTTATTCCACAATGTTTTTATAACCTAAATTTGTACTAATGGCTGAAATGTACTAATATGTACAATTTAGGTATGTACTTTTAAAGCACTAATATGTACCATTTAGGGGTAAATAAGGTACAAAGATGTACACTGACAGCTTTAATGAGAGTGTAGATATAAACAATGTAGGTTGTGTTATGGAATTTCCTAGCATACTGCATACTACTTTCACTGCTTCTGCTGTATACAGTATGTGCTTGGAGTATTAGCACAGAATTGTATATCCCACAATATAATGCTAACTTTTTTTTACCATTTCTGCTCTGACTATTACATGATCAGACTATTAAACTTTAAGACATTTTATGCCAAATAATTCAATCACACGCATGTGGCAACAATGTCACACTATAGATTACTGCGGTGTCAATTATTTTAGTAGGCCTATATAGAGAACACTCTCAAAAATAAAGGTTCCAAAATGGGGTTTTCGCAGTGATGTCAACTTTTCCGAGAACATTTGAATAATCTAAAGAACATTTTGTGGAATGAAAAGGTTTTATGGATGTTAAAGTTTCTTCATGAAGATGCTTTTTGAATACAGATATGGTTTAATTTTCCGCTGAGAGGCTAAATAACAGAGCTCGCAATACAAACGTGTCAGTCGTTGCCATAGTAACACGAGATGCTATGAGATGTCAGTAGAGTAATTAGACAACCGTGCTGAGTCGATACTTTGCAGTGTTCCATTCGGAATACAAATGAATTAAAACGGGTAAAAAGTAATGAGTTCATACGTACTGAACTTCCTCCTCCATGACTTCTGTGTCAGCCATGACTTGTAGATTCCTGATAAAGTAAATGAGTTTCAATTATAAAAGGACCTTCCATGCATGTCTAATGAGTTCATTCAATTTCAATTTATTTCAGCATGTACTAACTGCAGAACAAATCCTCTTTAAACTTCTGCCAGTGGCCCTGATCCCAGAGAACAATAATCTTTATGTTCAACATTGTTGGACCATAACAAGGATTCATATTCATAACTGTGTTTAACAAGCTTTGAAAAAGCAGCATCGCTGTCCTGAAGGAAATAAATCACACTATAAAGCACGTGATTAATGAGTGCAGGAGGCTATTTTTGCTCGTCATAAACTACGGTTTGGAACAGGTGCTCCACACTCTGCCAGACAATGAACTTGGCTGATCTCATCCAGGCCTGCCATTCATGCTCTTGTGTAAATCAAGAGCGAGTGTGTCCTTGGCATCTATTTTTGAAGCACATTGTTTGTGCAGGACATTGTTCCACAGCTTCTAATGACGTTAAAGACCCGTCTAGATTTTAATGCAGCTCATTAGGATTATATAGTTGTCCCACAAAGTAAGAAAAAGAAATAAACATCACTCAAAATTGCTTGTAAATTTCACAAAGAAATGGCCAGTTGAGTATTAAATTAAACATGCAATTTTGAAGCAGAAAAACTGAAATAGTATTTCTTGTAAAATATATAGTTTTATTTACAATGTATAGACCCAAGTCGCAATTATAGCATGCTTTTCAAGAAAAAACATTAAACAAAATAAAGTTTTATGATTTTTATTTTTTAAACAATATTTTATGATGTTCACAATTGAGATAAAAAGTGGAACATGCACTGTAAACGTTTTCTTTCCTAAGTTTCAAATAAAACAGATGACCGGAGTTAATATTACAAGAAAATGTTTAATTCAATGTGTTACTTTATTTCTTTGTAACTGTGAACTTTACTAGCAATCTGTGAAAATAGTTTCTACACCAATTTTATTTATTTATTTTTTAGTGTGTTTGTAATGAATGACAAGGAGATCTGACCTCCTAAAAATCACCAAAACACCAGCTAATTTCATTTTGCACCACTTTGTTTGATATTTGCTTTTAATGCAATGAAAACATACACAGTATAAATAAAAAATTTTGATGTTCACAATTGAGATAAAAAGTGGAACATGCACTGTAAACGTTTTCTTTCCTAAGTTTCAAATAAAACAGATGACCGGAGTTAATATTACAAGAAAATGTTTAATTCAATGTGTTACTTTATTTCTTTGTAACTGTGAACTTTACTAGCAATCTGTGAAAATAGTTTCTACACCAATTTTATTTATTTATTTTTTAGTGTGTTTGTAATGAATGACAAGGAGATCTGACCTCCTAAAAATCACCAAAACACCAGCTGATTGACAACAATTACAAAAAAAAAAAGCCAAAAGTGAATTTCATTTTGCACCACTTTGTTTGATATTTGCTTTTAATGCAATGAAAACATACACAGTATAAATTAAAAAAATGTTTGAGTTGTAAATAAAGAATAATGTAGTACATTTTCTAATTAAAAAAATTCTTCTCATTTCTTTGTGAAATTCACCAGCGGTTTCTGAGTGAAAACTGTTTCAAAGTAAATCCTACACCATTTTTATTCTTTCATTGTATTGAAGTGTCTAAATTCAAACTGTAGTTGCTGAAGGTCCAAAGGTCCATGTTTTTATCATCTTATATTCACTCAATATTTGCAGCTCAATAGCTGTTGGGGTCTTCAGCCTATCTTGTCTGATGGCACTCAAACTAATGGCTCTTCACAAAGAGATCATCTTGGATAAAGCTTGATTTTAAATCAAGTCCTCGTGATAATGAGAGCAGGCAGCAGCAGCCAGTCTTTGCAGCAGATTAACCATCTCACTTTGGAGTTACGTGCGTTTTACATTAATAAGCGAGGGCCGGTCGTGCTCCATCCAAAAGGCTGGAAAATCACAGGCTGACGGTGGCAGGAATGTTGCCATTGATAGTCTGTATTAAGCTGCATTAAGGCAAAAACCCAAAGCATGCAAACCACCAGTCCCTCTGGCGAACAAGACGAGCATTGCATTGATGATTGCACAGACTACGCCATGAAAAGGAATGAAGAGGGTGATCCTCAGACCTGATTCACACATTATGGGAAACTTCCCACAATCAATTTAATCCGGTAGGCATGCAATTGTTGGTTTTAGTTATGAAGGAACTGTCAGTTGGATCTGATAACAAAATCTGAAGCCTCTTACCTGAGGTCTCACCAGGAAGAATGAGAGATGGGGTCTTATCTCGAGGGTCCGGGCAGCAGACAGTTTCAAACGAAACCAAAGCTCACCTAATACAGACCTGCCAGATCATGTGACCTCACTGCTTTGCTCTGATTGGCTGCCAGAGCTGAGCCTATTGTTAGAGGAAGCGGAGCATGCCAGTTATGTGATATACGGCTGCTGGAGTATTGAGAAGCACACAATCACAGGTGTTTTTCATTGGTCTCTTTATTGTGGTCACTGAGACAATACAAGTTGAAACATTTGCTCTGTATGGAACTATTGGCTACAAACAGTCATATTTGTAACAAGGTAATTGCAATTAAAGGTGGTGCGACTTGCATCGTGTTACTCTGAAACAATACATAAGTGTTGAAACAAACAGTAAAAAACTTGATTGTCAAAAAATACAAGCAGAATACAGGAACTGTGAACATTTAGAAACATTAGTGATAAGCTACGGCGGCAGAACTGGATATTCTTTGTCTGACAAAAGACGTCAGAAATGATACGCAAAAAAAATTTAAATGACGGCATTACTAACATTCTGCCAACTAGCGCTGTATTGAAAGCCGACGACATCCGTGTTGCAATTTAGTATGAATGATTGCAACAGAAAGAAGAAAAATTATACACTTGAACATTAAACATGATTTGACTTTGTCCTTCTCCTTGGATGGTTTTGGATTAACCAAGGCCTTGCATTATATGCAAAAACTGTGAAATGTATTCAAATATAAGCCAAAAAGTGCACTTTCCCTTTCTGTCGAGTTGAACAGTTTTGAACCAATACCGATTATTCCACATGACTAACACTTACAAAAAGATGGTCACAAACAACTTCAGACCAGTGTTTCCAAGAGTACAAAAAGCCAAAGATAATGTAATAATGCCAACGGTATGACTATAATGGACTTTTTCTGAATTAAAACTTGCTTTGATATAAAATAATATTGAGAGCAAAAGCAAAGACCATTTTGTATCAAGCAGTAAAATATATAGTTAATTACAAAAACGTACACTATGTGCTAACATATATTATTAAGACAAAATACCGATTATTCCACATGACTAACACTTACAAAAAGATGGTCACAAACAACTTCAGACCAGTGTTTCCAAGAGTACAAAAAGCCAAAGATAATGTAATAATGCCAACGGTATGACTATAATGGACTTTTTCTGAATTAAACTTGCTTTGATATAAAATAATATTGAGAGCAAAAGCAAAGACCATTTTGTATCAAGCAGTAAAATATATAGTTAATTACAAAAACGTACACTATGTGCTAACATATATTATTAAGACAATTTTTATAAAAAAAAAAAAAAAAAGTGTCGTTACGACAAAAAATACAAAATACAGCTACACTACGGGTGCTCATATTCGGTCCGGAACTGGCGAACAGGCATGAAATGCAAGGTGAAGCTTTGCTTTAGTTATAAATTAACAGGTGAGAAGGGTAACTAACATGTTTAAAATGAATGTGATTTCACAAAAGACAGTTCGGAATGCAACTCCTCGTCCTCCTTTTCTTGGAATCTCGTAATGTTTTGAGTTGGCTGCTGTTATATAATCGAAACAAATTACTTGGTCTCTTGTTTTCACAGCCATGATTTCAGTTTAGCAGAAGTTACATGCAAAGGCATTGCGTTTATTTTATGATGGTACAAGACGGTGACCTGTGAATACAGTGATAAAATGTATATATTTTTTATTTTTCTCTCTTTTATACCGTGTCTACTCACATATATCTTCCTGGCAGTAGAAAATGCTTGCATTTTTTTTTGGTATTAATAAAAGTAAAAAATAAACAAAAAAAAGGAATGTTGTGCATTCTCTTGGTCCCTGCCTCTCTGGCGTCTTTGAAAGGTTAATGGCCCGTTCCTGTTAAAAGACAAAAGAGATATTAAAAATAAATATAAACTGAATATGCACTATGCAGTATTGTGCATGTATTAATAAATTAAAATAGAGATTTGAAATAAAATAAACTTTGAATTCACAAAATAAAGGCTGTTGTTTTCAACATTTTATTGACCAAAGAATACTGAAAAAATAAGTAGCATGGTCTTCACAAAATATTAAGCAGCACAACTGTTTTTAGCATTGATAATAATAATAATAAAAAAGTTTCTTGAGCAGCAAATCAGCATATTAGAATTATTTATTCACATTATCATGTGACACTGAAGACTGGAGTAATGATGCTGAAAATTCTGATTTGATCACAGGAATTAATAAAATTTTTGTATTTTAAAAAAATATCTGCATTTTTTGATCATGCAAATGCAGCCTTGTTCAAAACCAGTGAAATAAGTAGATCTCTAGTATGTCAAATTTTACCCAAATTTAAGGTACAAATAAAGAATGATTATCATACAAAACTTGTTTAAACATGATTGTTGCCTGTTTTTATGGGACCTGGTCATATTTTGTCCCTTAGAAGGGTTAAATGGTGTGTGTTTGTTACGATCTTCATTAAGCCAAGAATCTGAGACAACTAAAAATCTTAGCTGTGTGTATTTGTGATCTACACCCTTTTATTTTTCGTGCTCCAGAGCTAAAAACAGCTAAAAGAATATCTTAAATGTGCGGCGTCGGACCATTTTTAAGTGGTTGGAAGGATTAAGTTTTCATGACATCTCCATACGGCATGCGGGCACGCTAATCTTCTACCGCCCCATGCAGTAATGTGACAAACATGCACTGACAGACGCCCAGAATCCACGGCCTGATACTGAGACGAGCAGAGCGGGGAGGGGGAGGCCACGTCAGGCCAGCATAAAGCAACGACCTGTCGCCCATTACCCAAAAACCCCCTGGCACGCCCGAAGGTCACCACGTCCTCATCTAGAGGAACAAATGGCCGCTATTCAAAATAGAAAACAATGCCAAAGAGGCATTTTAAAACACTGCAGCCGGTGGACGACGTGCCTGCAGCGATGATTTATCATTGGCAGGGACTCCTGGCAGAGTGGATTGTGGGTGTTGTGCAATATGGTGGAAACTGCCCTTCACAGCAGGACCCCTCAGGGACACAGATAGATGTATAGGCTATAATGCAAACACACATGCACAATGAAACTCACAAAGTGTTCTAACCAAGCAAGCTTTGGGCTTTTTTTGCTGTCTAAAAGCTAAAAACTCTTTCAGATAAATCTGAATTTTTATCTAAACAATCCACTAGGACATTTTGATAATCACTTGGTTTCAATTGACCTTTCTTTTCACATAGTTGGGTACAATTTTATATTGGTAAATGGACACTACAACAAATGTAACTGGTTTTCTGTAATTAAATTCCAAGGTAATTTAACAAAGTATAGTGCTATAAATTTACTTTTTTAAATGAAAATGTATTATGTTAATTTGATGATGTTAATACTCTTTTCTGCAGGTTTTATAAGGGTAAATGTAAGACTTAAGATGAATTCAAGAAAATTTAGGGAATAAATCGAATGGAACACAATATGTCAATATGGTCTCTAAATGTAAAAATCTTGTATTAGCAATGCTTCAACGTTTGAAAATACATCCTCCAACAGATCTCCATTCATTTTTCATTCATTTGACATAAAAATAAAATAAAAGCTTATGGTTTGCTCTGCTCCTAACCACTAGAATATGGAAATATCTTTTACTTGTACCTTCTTGATCACACTGCAAAAAAAAAAGAAAAGTTTTTCATCTGTATTTTTCATCTTGTTTTCCAATGTAAATGTATAAACATTTTTAAATCAAGATGCATTTACTTGAAAAGGTAGTTTTTCATAATCAGTAGACAGGTGATTATTCTTGTTTTAAGCATTTAACTCGGTATTTTTACATTTCTCAGGAAACAAGACTTCATATGTTCAAGTTTGCATCTAAATGTATCTTGCTTTAACAATATTTAGACATTTGCACTGGAAAACAAAACAAAAATACAGAGGAAGATCTCATTTTCTGCCGTGCATGCAACATTTAAGCTCTCCGATTTAAGACCTTTTTAGGCCTTAATTTGTAGAAGGATGAATTAAGATGTTTTAAGACCTCTTTAAGACCTGCAGAAATCACAAATCACTTGGAAGCCTAGCCCAGTGTGAAATCTTACTGGTCCAAATCCTTACTTGTCATAAAAGTATCCGAAGCATCAAATCCGTTGTAATTGCCCGAGACTGCATTGCATCACACAGCAGTTTTGAGCTGACAAATAGTTTTTTGGCTGTGTGTATTTGTGATCTACACCCTTTTATTTTTCGTGCTCCAGAGCTAAAAACAGCTAAAAGAATATCTTAAATGTGCGGCGTCGGACCATTTTTAAGTGGTTGGAAGGATTAAGTTTTCATGACATCTCCATACGGCATGCGGGCACGCTAATCTTCTACCGCCCCATGCAGTAATGTGACAAACATGCACTGACAGACGCCCAGAATCCACGGCCTGATACTGAGACGAGCAGAGCGGGGAGGGGGAGGCCACGTCAGGCCAGCATAAAGCAACGACCTGTCGCCCATTACCCAAAAACCCCCTGGCACGCCCGAAGGTCACCACGTCCTCATCTAGAGGAACAAATGGCCGCTATTCAAAATAGAAAACAATGCCAAAGAGGCATTTTAAAACACTGCAGCCGGTGGACGACGTGCCTGCAGCGATGATTTATCATTGGCAGGGACTCCTGGCAGAGTGGATTGTGGGTGTTGTGCAATATGGTGGAAACTGCCCTTCACAGCAGGACCCCTCAGGGACACAGATAGATGTATAGGCTATAATGCAAACACACATGCACAATGAAACTCACAAAGTGTTCTAACCAAGCAAGCTTTGGGCTTTTTTTGCTGTCTAAAAGCTAAAAACTCTTTCAGATAAATCTGAATTTTTATCTAAACAATCCACTAGGACATTTTGATAATCACTTGGTTTCAATTGACTTTTCTTTTCACATAGTTGGGTACAATTTTATATTGGTAAATGGACACTACAACAAATGTAACTGGTTTTCTGTAATTAAATTCCAAGGTAATTTAACAAAGTATAGTGCTATAAATTTACTTTTTTAAATGAAAATGTATTATGTTAATTTGATGATGTTAATACTCTTTTCTGCAGGTTTTATAAGGGTAAATGTAAGACTTAAGATGAATTCAAGAAAATTTAGGGAATAAATCGAATGGAACACAATATGTCAATATGGTCTCTAAATGTAAAAATCTTGTATTAGCAATGCTTCAACGTTTGAAAATACATCCTCCAACAGATCTCCATTCATTTTTCATTCATTTGACATAAAAATAAAATAAAAGCTTATGGTTTGCTCTGCTCCTAACCACTAGAATATGGAAATATCTTTTACTTGTACCTTCTTGATCACACTGCAAAAAAAAAAGAAAAGTTTTTCATCTGTATTTTTCATCTTGTTTTCCAATGTAAATGTATAAACATTTTTAAATCAAGATGCATTTACTTGAAAAGGTAGTTTTTCATAATCAGTAGACAGGTGATTATTCTTGTTTTAAGCATTTAACTCAGTATTTTTACATTTCTCAGGAAACAAGACTTCATATGTTCAAGTTTGCATCTAAATGTATCTTGCTTTAACAATATTTAGACATTTGCACGGGAAAACAAAACAAAAATACAGAGGAAGATCTCATTTTCTGCCGTGCATGCAACATTTAAGCTCTCCGATTTAAGACCTTTTTAGGCCTTAATTTGTAGAAGGATGAATTAAGATGTTTTAAGACCTCTTTAAGACCTGCAGAAATCACAAATCACTTGGAAGCCTAGCCCAGTGTGAAATCTTACTGGTCCAAATCCTTACTTGTCATAAAAGTATCCGAAGCATCAAATCCGTTGTAATTGCCCGAGACTGCATTGCATCACACAGCAGTTTTGAGCTGACAAATAGTTTTTTGTTGGAAACTGGACACTTTACACAAATTCATTTTATCTTGTCGTCACTTACCATTGGTGACGGATTTGGTCTCTCCTCTGCTTGCGACCTGGGTGAGGTTTAAATCAAAAAGAGAGATGGAAAACGGGACAAAGGAGGAAGATCTCATTTTCTGCCGTGCATGCAACATTTAAGCTCTCCGATTTAAGACCTTTTTAGGCCTTAATTTGTAGAAGGATGAATTAAGATGTTTTAAGACCTCTTTAAGACCTGCAGAAATCACAAATCACTTGGAAGCCTAGCCCAGTGTGAAATCTTACTGGTCCAAATCCTTACTTGTCATAAAAGTATCCGAAGCATCAAATCCGTTGTAATTGCCCGAGACTGCATTGCATCACACAGCAGTTTTGAGCTGACAAATAGCTTTTTGTTGGTAACTGGACACTTTACACAAATTCATTTTATCTTGTCGTCACTTACCATTGGTGACGGATTTGGTCTCTCCTCTGCTTGTGACCTGGGTGAGGTTTAAATCAAAAAGAGAGATGGAAAACGGGACAAAGAGAAACAGAAACAGAAACAGAGAGAGAAAGAATAAGATTAACATAAATACAATCTACAGTAATGTAGAGCTGAGCTCTTCCCAGCCCATCCGTCTGCTATTCCACTTACGCCTTCACATTTTATTTTACATTTCCTTTTTAACATACTTCTTTTGTGCCTGTGTGCTCCAAAAAGTCATCAGTGAAAGCGCTTGTGGTCGACATGCTGCGTGTACAATGACAGGAACATGCTTAGCATTAGCATGGTTTCATACAGCGCTCTTTTTCCAGATTCGCATTCAAGTGCTTTTGTGCCTGTGTGCTCCAAAAAGTCATCAGTGAAAGCGCTTGTGGTCGACATGCTGCGTGTACAATGACAGGAACATGCTTAGCATTAGCATGGTTTCATACAGCACTCTTTTTCCAGATTCACATTCAAGTGAAAACCCTCATTCCTTCCACTCCTGACCAAACAGCACTGCTGGTTTTGGTAACATCAGTGTGGTTATGACCACAGATTTCCCTTCATTAGGTTCTTTACGTCACCATTTACCAGTCCTTTAAGCACTCGGGGCCAAAACTGTAGTCTGTGGCTAACCGCGGCCTTGGCCTGATCTTGACACTTCGCTGACAGTCCAGTAGTGAATTCTATTGTGCCCGATCCAAAGATAGAGCCGCCCGCTCCGAATGACTACCATTATTATCTGTTTGATCTGTGGATATCAGTCTTCTTGTGTTGCTGTACAGTCCTTTGATCTACTTTGTAGTGGAAAGGGCTCTATAAATAAAGTAGACTTGAGACTTGATATAAAAATATGAAGGCCAGGGCTCGTGGGAATGCCTTTTCAGGTTCAGACGATGGGATCGACTCGAATAGGTTTCTATTCATGACCCGTGAGCGTCTGTGTGTGTGTGCACGACCGCCATGTTTGGGCAACTGGATCCCAAGCTGGTGTTAAAATAGATCTTCTCACAATAGGCAGCCCTTTGTTAAGGGGTGATGGGTGTTAAACCCATGTGTGACGGGAAAAAGAGAGAATGGAAGAGAGAGGGAAGGTGAAATTGATCCTTCGCTAAGCTCTGCTCTGCTGATCATTCCGACAAGCTTTTGCACATTTTTAATGAGCGTCTATGGAAGTCCGGTGTGTCTGGATAGTTTTAAATGGAATTTAAAATATTATTATACATTTTTTTGTTGTTGAAATAATATTTAATTTGAAATATTTATTATTTTAATAAATTTTTTTATATTTCAATAATTTTTCCAAAAATACTTGCCAAGTCACTTATAATAGTAACACAAGCCACCCATTATTGTTTTCCTTCACAAAATCTTTAAATAAATCTTGACCTACATTTGGGTAAATCAATGTTAATTAATGTTACACGCTGATTCAGGTCAGCAGATGCACCAGTGACTAATAAGTTGACAGTACCATTGCGATTTGTTGAAATTTTACATTAGTCGTTACTAATTTTTTTTTACAAAAAAGGCCTCTCTCTTTGCGGTTTACTGTCGTAACCCTTTAACTCGATTCTGATTCACAGTATCCATAGTTTCTGATCACATTACTGAATAATTTAATCATTTAATCAAGGTTTTCACTTGCAAAACTTGCGATTGCATATACAAGATGCTTTGGACATGTACTGAAAAAGCTCCCTGTTTCCTGAAAATCTCTTATTAGACACATTATGCGACAGCACTCTTTTTCCAGATTCACATTCAAGTGAAAACCCTCATTCCTTCCACTCCTGACCAAACAGCACTGCTGGTTTTGGTAACATCAGTGTGGTTATGACCACAGATTTCCCTTCATTAGGTTCTTTACGTCACCATTTACCAGTCCTTTAAGCACTCGGGGCCAAAACTGTAGTCTGTGGCTAACCGCGGCCTTGGCCTGATCTTGACACTTCGCTGACAGTCCAGTAGTGAATTCTATTGTGCCCGATCCAAAGATAGAGCCGCCCGCTCCGAATGACTACCATTATTATCTGTTTGATCTGTGGATATCAGTCTTCTTGTGTTGCTGTACAGTCCTTTGATCTACTTTGTAGTGGAAAGGGCTCTATAAATAAAGTAGACTTGAGACTTGATATAAAAATATGAAGGCCAGGGCTCGTGGGAATGCCTTTTCAGGTTCAGACGATGGGATCGACTCGAATAGGTTTCTATTCATGACCCGTGAGCGTCTGTGTGTGTGTGCACGACCGCCATGTTTGGGCAACTGGATCCCAAGCTGGTGTTAAAATAGATCTTCTCACAATAGGCAGCCCTTTGTTAAGGGGTGATGGGTGTTAAACCCATGTGTGACGGGAAAAAGAGAGAATGGAAGAGAGAGGGAAGGTGAAATTGATCCTTCGCTAAGCTCTGCTCTGCTGATCATTCCGACAAGCTTTTGCACATTTTTAATGAGCGTCTATGGAAGTCCGGTGTGTCTGGATAGTTTTAAATGGAATTTAAAATATTATTATACATTTTTTTGTTGTTGAAATAATATTTAATTTGAAATATTTATTATTTTAATAAATTTTTTTATATTTCAATAATTTTTCCAAAAATACTTGCCAAGTCACTTATAATAGTAACACAAGCCACCCATTATTGTTTTCCTTCACAAAATCTTTAAATAAATCTTGACCTACATTTGGGTAAATCAATGTTAATTAATGTTACACGCTGATTCAGGTCAGCAGATGCACCAGTGACTAATAAGTTGACAGTACCATTGCGATTTGTTGAAATTTTACATTAGTCGTTACTAATTTTTTTTTACAAAAAAGGCCTCTCTCTTTGCGGTTTACTGTCGTAACCCTTTAACTCGATTCTGATTCACAGTATCCATAGTTTCTGATCACATTACTGAATAATTTAATCATTTAATCAAGGTTTTCACTTGCAAAACTTGCGATTGCATATACAAGATGCTTTGGACATGTACTGAAAAAGCTCCCTGTTTCCTGAAAATCTCTTATTAGACACATTATGCGGCTTGACTGAGTGAGCAATGGAAGCTGAGGTGGGCGGAGCTTAATGTAAAAGTCAACTAGTGCCACAGGAGTTACTCCTGGTGATTTTAAAGCACTTCCTTCCTGCAAACAAACCGCCTGCTCTTGTGGCAGTGAGTGAAAGTGCAAGAAAAGCTCTGTGAAGAAACGAAAAAACAAAAAGCCAGTTCCTAAGCCATCCTGTGCTAAATGCATGAAGTGTTGCTCGTCAAACACTGTGCATTCCTGTGCAATAGAGAAACATTTACCTCCTCAAGGTGGTCAGATCTGTAGACAATTAGCAAGGGGACGGCTTAAAACACAAAACACACAGGCAATGTTATGGGAATGTTATTCTCCGCAATTATACTGCAGATATCAGTAGAGTGGGTGTTATGACTGTAACTGTCTCCAAAGGCCTAATGGCATGCCTGAAGGGTTGTAAAACCCCCACAGCCTGTTGTTTGGACAAATAAGTGCTTTATTAATTCATTCTCCAGGGGCATATGAAAAATGTTATGTGTATAAATAACTAAGAGAGAGAGAGAGCGAGTCGAGCTGATTGGGGGAAAAAATTATGTTTGGTTACCTTGGTAGCAGAGGACCCTTTGTTTTCCCATAGATTGCGTTTGCTGGTCACGTCGCCCGGTTTCAGGTCCTGCAGGAGGGGAAGGGGGTGTAATATCAGTCGTGAGATGGCCCTGAACTACTCAGCTCATGTAAACACACACACACACGCACGTCAATCTGAGAGAAATGACATAAGAGATGCCAGTGTCCTTATGACAGAGGAGCATGCTTGGAGGGGAGGGATGTTTGCATACCTGATCTTCATCAGAGAGAGAGAGAGAGCAGAAGAGAGAGGAAAGAAGCCCAGGGGAAGAAGCAAAGGGAAATCTAACAGTGGAAGAGAGAGAGAATGACAGAAAAACCGTGAAGGTACTGTTGAGATGAGATCAGTTTCATTTGACACAAGACAATGCAACTTGACTAATATGACGTGTATATGACAGTTCAAATATAGTAATTTATGAAGCAATGTGTTTTATTTTTTAAGTATTTGGAGCGCTTTGAAAATATCTTATAATATATAAGATATAATAATGTTTTGTAAAGTTTATTCATTCATCCAATAAATGAAATACAAATACAAATGTATTTATATAATCATTTTATATAACAAAAACTTTAAAATAAATAAATAAAAATATTGAAATATAACAAAAACAATAAAAATAAACAATTAAAATTAATTAAACTATTTAAAACAAATATGATATTCAAAAAGAAAAGTAAATTTTGTCCATTGTCTGCCATTATTAAATAGTTATAGCAAACTGTAATGATAGTGTGACCCGGGGGTTTTGCACTTGAGCAACAGGTCAAAGGTCAATCCCATTAAGGCCGAGTGTAAATGAGGCTGGCTTCTAAAAAGCAAAACTGTAACAATACCGCCCCCGGATGAGAAAAAAAAGTACCCAGAAATGAACACAGTACCTCTTTATTCTGTAAAAAGATTACATTTAAAATGCAAAACAGCTGTGGTTTTAACTAACTACTTATTATGACTGAATTTAGATGTTCATGTACTAAGACTATGTAGTCTGTAATTAAACTGGCATATTTTTTACATCATAATAGACTTTGCTGATTTAACAAATCTAGCTGTGGATGGTTATTGTGATCATGTTCAGCATTTATAGTTGTGTGACTATGTGCCTTTTGACTTTAAATTCCCATATCAATGTTCAAACTGCTGCACTAGACTTCTAAGTTAACACAGATTTGTGCATTTAAATATATTTATAGCTTCTTTTCATATTACATCCTTATTTGAACAATGAAGCCAGAGTTTTAAAATAAACAGCCAATCAGTGATGAAGGATAGCAGGCATGCCGGAGCAGACAGGAACGTAAGAGAAAGCCTGAATACACCCACTCCTTTAATCACTTCTATGTGATTACATGACAGAAATAGTCAAATGCACATATAAACATCTGAAATTATTCTGCAAATGCTCCCAAGAATCTCTTTCTAATGTTTTTTTAACATCTGTTTTAGTTCAGTGCTCTGTATTTTTCCCTTCGGGTTGAATCAGTACCACTAGGTGGCGCCAGATAACAAGACTCATCACATCCAGATATGATGCACATAGAGATCAGGGGTGTGATGGACAGGGTCAAAGGCTTACCGTGGGTCTTCCTCCTGACGTTTTGCCCATCTCTGGAGTTTTGTTCAACCAATCGTTGATGCGGCCGGCCACGCCCACCTTTATCCCAGCTGCATCCTGTACAGGGTGGAACAAAACACTCCCTTTAAGGTTAAAGTTCAGAATGTGACGTTGGACAGGAAATGGGTCCAAGAGGACAAGTGGGGTCCCTTTCCCCACCCATCTATGTGAATGAACATCACAAACCTTGTTGGTGGACGCCGGGCTCCCACCAGAGCTGAAGACATTCCCCTTCTCCCACATGCTCTTGATGTTGCGAATACCGTCTGTCACCATGGGAAGATCTATGGCAGCTGATCTAGGAGATCTGACCTCTTTGTGGCCCTGAATGGAGGGAAAGGCATAGATTACACTGTGCTGTCTTCTGGTGTCCTGTGTTTATTTTAGATTTATCTTTCGCTTGTGTTCAGTTTGAGAGAGGATGATGTAGGACTCACCTGCACGGCGCTGGTGTACTGCTCTAATCGGTTATCAATCTTAGACACCACAGGAGCATGAGACGCCTTCACAGAACTGACACACACACACACACACACAAACATCAGTGCATGCTGGTATTTATAAGCATCACTTTCACAATGAAAGATTGTAGACTGCAAATTAAATTGAATCAGTAGTTCATGTATGATAAATAGTTTGCGATGGATGGATGGATAGATGGATTGAGAGAATGACAGATAGATAGACAGACAGACAGACAGATGATAGGGACACAGACAGACAGACAGACAGACAGACAGACAGATAGATAAGATAGACAGACAGACAGATGGATGGATAGATAGACAGACAGGCGGATAGACAGACAGACAGATTGATGATAGGGAGACAGACAGACAGACAGATGATAGGAAGACAGACAGATAGACAGATAGATAGATAGATAGACAGACAGGCGGATAGACAGACATAGATAGACAGACAGGCGGATAGACAGACAGACAGATAGATAGATAGACAGACAGACAGATTGATGATAGGGACACAGACAGACAGATTGATGATAGGGAGACAGACAGACAGACAGATGATAGGAAGACAGACAGATAGACAGATAGATAGATAGATAGACAGACAGACAGAGACAAATGATAGGGACACAGACAGACAGACAGACAGATTGATGATAGGGACACAGACAGACAGA